ATGTGTAGATCCAGATTATGTACACACTGTTTACACCAACACTGTGTGGATCCAGATTATGTCCACCATAAATCCCGTATTCTGCTGGATTAATCTTGATTTCTTTGTGTGGTTCTGTCTTCAGATGGGGCTGACCGCACGTCGACGATATGAAAGTGAAGCCTGTGTGAGAGCAGCAGGACCCCCCCACTCCCCACCCCCTCCCTGCAGCTGATTGTGGAGCTCAACCAAAGGACCGGGCGGGATCCAAGAAACAGGAGCACGTCGTCAAACGGCTAAATGTCGAGCCGTCTCTTCAGACAAGCACTTCCTGCTCCGCCAGCATGCTCAGTCGTCTGAGGGTGGGGGGAGAAGAGCCCCCAGGAGGCCATCGTTGAGTCTGCTCCATCAGAGGAAGACGCTGCCTGTGGATCAGGTCACCGCGACACGAAGCCCCCGCCCCCCCTCACTGTCCGACTCATCATGGAGTCTCCCTCATGACGTCACCTCGGAGCAGCAGAGCTGCGGTGAGGCTGAGGGACGTGTGGAGCTCCTGGACAGATGTTACTGAACGTCCAGCACATCAGTTGGGCCTCCTGCTCAGTACTGTGTGTTCAAAGTACACAGTATCTACATTTCATGTACTGTTTACATAACGATGCTACTTTCAGAGGGTACAGAAACGTATTCATTTCAGGCAGGGCTTCGCTTCATGCCCCACAAGTAGCCATCGCTCCAGTTTACAGCCGACGTGCTTATCCTTTATCAGAGCCGGCGACGAGCAGCAGACAGGTAGCCAGATGTTTTACTGACAGAGCGGCCGGAGGAAGTTGGACACACTGTGGTGGAGAGGAAGAGGAAGAGGAGGAAGGCGATGCAGAGAAGGACACAGAAAGTATGGGAGGACGCTGAGACGGGAAGCGGATGTTTAGAGAACGAGCTCGGAGGCAGGACCTCTGAGGATGATGTCACGTGTGATCATGTGACAGCAGGAGGTTCAGCTGCACCTCGTGCTGTTTGATCCGAGTCTTTGCAGGCAAACACTTTATTTTTTTACGTGTTTCTAAAATCACGAGCAGGATGTCCAGATGCTGGTTTGGTGACTCCTCTACAACAGGGTGTCGTTATCGAGCTGCACGCTAAACACATCTGACGTCAGGATTGTGAAGCTTTGCGCCGGGCTGAGCCGGACTGGATTCAGTTTTCCACTCTGTGTCGCTGTGAACCTGTTGGAGGAACTGGTCCAGGTCCATGGAGGGCTCTGACCTCCACCTGCTGGACGAACGCCGTCATTGCAGCGTAGAGATTTTAAGACAGTGGGAGAAATAAGTTCTCACAGATTATTGTTGGAGCTCAGCCTTTTTCACTGTTTTGTTAGACTTAAAGTAGTTTTTTTTTTAAATTGTGGATCTTGTTTATTTTGTCGTCTTGATTTTTGAGTTTCTGTTGAGATGGTTGGGTGTCTGCTGCCTTCATGTGCGCACCGAGTCCCAACGTCCAGTTCTTGTTGGGGGTTCTTATTGTTGCGTTCACCCTTTTTGTTGTGTAACGCCTTAGTGTTTTCTTTGTGTTGTGCACTTGATAATGTGATACAGTGACACCAGCCCTGATCCGACGGGGCTGCTCTGCGACGTGGACTCTGAGACCAGCAGAGAGGAACTGAGCCAGACGGCTTCTTGTTGTCCAGAGCGGTTAAGAGTTGAAGCTGCTCTCTCCACGTTGCTCATGTTTTAGCCAAAGCTGACTCGTGACACAGAGGTGAAGGGTCACACCGGGGTTTATGCACGTCTTGGTTTGGTCTCTGATTTGACTTGGTCGTCCTCGAGGGCCGTGCACGTTTCAGCTGCAGAACCCAGTTCATCACTCGGGCACGTCGGGTGTGATGGAGCAGAGAAACCTGGAACACATGGTGGTCCTCGAGGACCGCTGGTTTCAAGCATTTACAGTAGGTGAAATCTGTTTCATGAAGGTCAACTGAATGTCGTCGTTAAACACTAATGATGCAGACTTTAGAGGTTCTCAGGTCCTAGAGTCATTTACTGACCCATCCTTCATCCACTTCCAGGTTAGAGGAGATGTTGGCTTTTTAATGAGCGAATCCAGACGGATGTAAAAACTATAAGCAGCCTTTTTACACGTTCATGCGTCGTCTTTGTTTTTCATCATCAGTTCTTGGTTCTGGTGCACAGCTCATGGTTTCTGAGGTTCTTGTGTCGATTTCAACCAAAGCTGCGTCAGAAGACACCCAGATGTGCATAAACTCTGTTGAGGAGCGAGTTTCCTGATTGGCTGAATGTTCAGGTCAGGTGACAGTGGTTTGAAACTCCTGTCTGGATCTGCACACACACACGCACACACACACACACACACACACTACATTATAGGAATGGATCACGTACCTTGCAGCTCCGCCAAACCTTGAATGTTGCGTCGTAATCCCGACAGGAGCTGATTCTGTGTCAGGATTTCATCACGTTTCTTCTCCGTCACTGCCGTACGAGTCAGTACTTCAATTATTTATTCTTCTCCTGCAGAGGTGATCCTGCTCCTCGAGGTGTTTTATTATTTAAAATACCAAATGTATTAACGTGTTGTGGCTGGTGACCATACATACATCTCAAAGTAACAGGTTGACTTTTTTTGACTGAGTGTTTTTACTTGTTGAGCTGAAGTTTGTGTCTTTTCATGTGGAGATTTTAGTTTTGCAGCTTTCTGAGCGAAGCCGCCAGCCGAGCCTGTTAAACACAGACGTGCTAACGTTACTCGGTCCATCGTCACCATCTCAGGCTGATTAGATGGAGAGTTCAGAGCTTATTGAGTGTTCCCACTGAACTCTGGGGTCCAGATCAGAGTCTTTATGTGAACACGTTGATTAGATCACTGTGTGAACCTGAAGCAGCTTGATAAGAAGCAGAACCGTTTCCAGCTGCAGATCAAGTATTAGTGGCAAAATGATCAATGTTACATTTATTTATTCAGTGTTGTGCAAATGGATGCACCAGTACTTTAAAACAATTCAAATTCAGTAAATTGGCCAACGCAGATTCTTAAACGAACGTGAAGAGACACCATTCCACTTCTTCCATTTACTTAGAAAATGTGTCTGAACATCGGAGGAGCTTTTGGGTCAGGATCCTCTTCTGCTCTACAAGGACCTGCAGCTGTTAGAAGACTCTGAACTCGGCGTCCTGTTATTTATTTTATCATTAATCTGGTTAAAAGCGTCACTTTGTCCCTCGTCTTGGCAGCTTTGCTGAGCAGAATTTATCCTTTTTCTGTTGTCACCACGGTTCACGTTAAACTGCTCCTCTCTGCTCAACGGAGCTGAGCGTCACATAAACAGGGGCGTCGCCAAGAGGGGTGGACTGGGGTGGCAATGGCCACCCCCTTGGTGTGCATTTTTTAGTTCCTTTAGCTATTTAGGATTAATCAAACATAAAAACAAACCTTGTCTTTGATTAATTAGCAATTAAACAAATATTAAGGACGCATGCTATTGGATTTTTGGCCAATGCGATATGTTGAAACTTATTTGTCCAATAATTGATACCAGTACCGATATTTTTTCCCCCAGAACTACTTAAGGAGACTACATAGTTTTCTCTGCTGTGAAATTAAAACTTCATTATTCTGCATGTTCTGTCAGTTTGGCTGCTACCAAATGTAGATGAGAAAAAGGGAGCTGAAAATGATGCAACACTTCAACTTGGATTATGTTTAATGTCAAATTTATTCATAACATTTACTCTCTAACACTCGAACAGTGAACATTTGTAAATTTTCACAAATCTAAATGGCCCGTGTGATGTCATGACAATGTGCTGGCGCTGCAGGCATCCTTGTCACTGGGTTGTCATACAAAAACGG